ATCCACCGACTACAACAGCTTATTCCTGTCCACTTTATTACCGTTTTTCTCTTGAATCTGGATAGCAATAAATATTCTAACCTTCACAATCCTTTCCATCTCCATGATATCCAGGCTTACAAGAGCAGGTATATGATCCATTGCTGTTGATACACTCAGCATCTTCATCACAACTGAATGTTCCTGCAGCACATTCGTCAATATCTGAAACGTTTCTTTTACTGATTTATTTCGATTGACACAGCTTGTGTAGAACGCTGATTGACGTCTCACTATGAAAACATGGAAGGTACTCGTCCTAAATGTGGCTTAGTCATCTCGGAAACACCTTCAAGCAAAAATAAATATAGATTACTTCATAGAAAGTGCGACGTACGGATTTTTATTCACGAGTTCCAAAGTTTTCGACGAGTGAATAAAAATGTGTACAAAGCACTTTCGATGTTGTAATTTGTTTATTGTATATATAACGAGAATTAAACATATCCGTTGAAGGAGTTTCAGTTTTCCCGATACCGTAAGTTTACATGCAGAACAGCAACAAATTCAAAACTGATCTAAATGACCGATCGTAATAAAAAACAAATCTGCTTTCCCGTCCAGCAACAGGCGGACAAAGAGCCTACACAAGCTTAAATGTAACACGGGAGAATTCGTAAATACATAGTATGAAATCTTTTCGCTTGTCCCTAATCACTCTCAGATTCAATCATATAATAGCGGCGCTTCGCGCTGTGCAAAGACAAATTCGGACTCTGTTGACTCACACTGTTTAAATTTGAATGTTCCTCCTTGAAGGTTTTTGACTTTCTGATGTTAAATTTACTTCCCCGGTTTCTTAAATGGCCATTGATTCTCAAACTGAAGTTTTAGCTTTAGCTTAAGATGTTGGATATATTCCGCTGTTGTTTTTCCGAAAGTGAACTAAAACGGGAAGCCGAAGCCATGTTCTCGAAACACAAACTTCAAGCGGGCGCTGATTTCAAGACCGCGCTTCTCGGAAGCCATTTGAGTGCTTAGCTCTGATTGGCTAAGTGATTCTACTCTGGACGGTGATTGGTAATATTTTCACATGGGAAGAACGCTATACGCGAAGCTGATTGGACGTATCGCTTTTTTCACATGTACAAATATAGCACATACAGAATTCTATTTGCAAGGTTTATTGCCTAAAATTCTCGCTATATGTACAATAAATACTAGTTATGCAACACTCTGTGGTGGTATACAAGGGAATATCCCACTTCTCACTTGCAATTTCTTGGTATACACACACTTGCCTAAGGGATCGTGTATATTGGACACGAGAAATTAGAAGTGACTCGCGGGATATTCCCTGGTATAACACTCGACAGCGTTGCATACCTACTATATACTGTACTGCACTGCACTNAAGACAAATTCGGACTCTTTGACTCACACTGTTTGAATTTGAATGTTCCTCCTTGAATTTTGTTGGCTTTCTGATGTTAAATTTACTTCCTCGGTTTCTTAAATGGCCATTGATTCTCAACTGAAGTTCCAGCGCTTAAGATGTTGGATATATTCCGCTGCTGTTTTTCCGAAAGTGAACTAAAACGGGAAGCCGAAGCCATGTTCTCGAAACACAAACTTCAAGCGGGCGCTGATTTCAAGACCGCGCTTCTCGGAAGCCATTTGAGKGCTTAACTCTGATTGGCTAAGTGATTCAATCTGAACGGTGATTGGTTATATTTTCACATGGGAAGAACGCTATACGCGAAGCTGATTGGACGTATCGCTTTCTTCACATGTGGAAATAGAGCACATATAGAATTCTATTTGCAAGGTTTATTGCCTAAAATTCTCGCTATATGTACAATAAATTCTCTTTTAAGACTCCCCTCTTAAATACGCCCCCCTCTCTAATAAGACCCCTTTTTTCCGAGGAAGAAAGTTATTAAGCCCCTCCTCTCTTTTAAGCCCCCCTCCCCTACCCCCTTATTCCACACAATCAAGTTAATAAATGATAGACTGTATTTGTAATGTAAACATGACTATAACACTTCATGTGGACTGATCTGGTATGGTTTGGCTGCGTAACCTCCAACTTCATGTGCTTGAACTTTTCCACTCAAATCTCCATATTAGACAGTCATTGCCCTGGCCCAAAACAGGAAGTAGGTAAGCCTAACCGTAGTCACCTCTTTCTTCCTCTTTTTTGATACCAGTAATGCGTTTAGCTAGGAATTAAATAAGCCCCCCCTCTCAAATAACCCCCCCTTAAAAGTGCTTAAAATAAATAGGTCCCCCGGAGGCATAATAGAGGATTTGCAGTGTCAGTTATATATTTAGCTTCAATGTGACAAAAGTGTTGAGACACTTTGCAGTAAAATTCGAATTTCGAGAATCTTGGAAACGTTTCCCCCCCTTCCCCCAAACAATGTTGATTTTTCTATTTCTAAGACTGCACACACCAGAGTGCCTACGCAACATTGAATTGGGGGGTCGGGGTATCAGAGAACTAATGCTAGATGCAAATAAAATAGAATAAGAAATTAAATATCGAAAAGTGTCACTTCCTAAAAGTGTTTCAACTACTTTTGTTGCTTATTGCAGTAACATAAACAAGACAACGAGGATTATCAGACATTGTTGATACCAAGTTTTGGTTTATTTCAATGGAAAAAGGTTGTTGCAATATTTTGGCTCTATTTCAGAGTCAAGTAGTTAGATCAAAACAAGTGGACAGCTTATATATCAAGGCTAATTACATGTAGGTGTATGAACAAGTAATGACATAAAATGATCTATCGAGCCAGAGAGACGATACACGAAGTGAAAGCCAAATTGTATTGTTAAGAAAAAATGCAAACTGCAATAGTAAGAGAATAATTAAGGAGATGTGACACCATTTAAAGCATTCTTGAAGTCACCCTAGTCCGAAAGGTTGTACCACAAAGAATGTACCAATTCTATCTGATCAGCAAAGCTAACTTAGCTAAGTTAGTATAAGGTGCGTGACCAAGTAATAAAATCCCTCACCATACCTGTACTGCGAGTCATATTTTCTTTCCTATTTTAAGCATAAAACCAGGAAGTACAAGGTAATTATCAATCCCCTTTTATTGAAAGGAAAATTAAGTTAAACTGTTTTTTTTGTCTCAATAAAAGATTCGTATCAAAAATCGTGACATTCCCCATGATGTATGCGTTACATTATGCGTCTTATAATGGAATTTGCATCACTCAGGTTTCAAATATATAAATAATATATATATAAATAAAAAATCACTCAGGATTCAAAAGGTCGAGTGCAATCATCATAATAAATTTCGATTGTTCAGACGTTCTGTTCCTTAAAACTCAGAGAAACACAAGTTTTCCTTCTTTCACTTCTCTGTTGTATCAGACTTATTACCTACGGATATATATTTATACTTAACTAAGGGTTAAAATCTCAAGTCAGTGGCATCAAAATTGTCACTGTTTACAGACGATCCATTCCAAATTGAGAGGCTCATAGCCATTTTGATTTATTTTCAAAGTTATTTAGACACAAAGATGAATTCAAAATTCTGCAAGCTTAGATTGTTGCCGCTTCACATGGCCGTGGCCGCCGCGTGCATATTTGCATACGTAGCAAAGTCCATTGAAGTTTTCATAGCTGACAGCCATGGATAGGATGTGTGTACATAGTTTTGTCTTCTAAGAGTTTGTAGTCAATAATGGTTGAGTTTGCCTGAACTGTCCGATAGTCACCCACTTCAATGGAATGGAAGCGAAAGAAGGATAATAAATGGGTATGATAAGCTTATGTTTCCTGATGTTTCTTAATCTCATCTCTACGGACTTGCACCATTTCAACAGATGCTAAGATATTTAATGGCTAGAGAAAGCCGTTTTAACCGACTGAAATTTTTTCCGAATGGACACAGGCTGACGTTTTAACAGACACTTAAAGTTCCCTAACGGATAGAGTTTGGCGTATAAACAGATTGTAAACTTTTTACAATGGCTAAGGCTTGCCGTTTAACGGATGTTAAAATTTTGTAAATGGATAGACCTTGCCATTAAACGGATCAAGAAAATTTCTTAACGGTTTAATCAAACATTTAAATGGTTTCACATTAGCTTTATATGGCTTCGCTAACTCTTACAACGGTTTTCACTATGTGTTTTAATGGATAACAAACAGATGACAAACGGTTTCATCTGTTTAATGGATAAGCGTTAGTGTACGTTTTCCTGTGTAATGTCACATGTATTATAAGGGCTTTTGCATTGAATTAAAGCGAACCCAATGGAGGAACAACAGTCCGCCAACATGGTCTCTGGACATTGTAAATAAACTGCGAAAGACACTCTCTGATTTTTCACCAGAATCCATACAAAAGAACCTGCACATATTATTGCAACCATATTCCTTCTTTTTATTCCTATTTTTGAACTCTTCATGGGGGTGGAGGTCATTTCTACGCCAAAATAACCGCATGGTTATTATGTTGAGATATTCCCATTTTTCACACTTTGATATTTAATCACTCAGGGAAATAATTTCAATTGACTAAATTCCCACAGGAAGTGACAAGCACGCCCTAGTTTCTGATTGGTAAACCTGTTAACAACAATTGACAGTTGATGAAATTGGATTACATGGAAATTGGTGGGCATAATGCGAAAGCAATGGTCAGTGGAATTACCACAAAATGACCAACCAAGAGAGTGATTTTTCCCAAACTAACTGTTACAACTAGCTATGCAATGAGCAACATAACCAGTGGCCAATTAGATATCTTTGCATAGATTTATCGATCTTAGATATTTGCTGACCCCTAGTTAGATAGATCACTTTTGTACAATTTTCCTATAATGTTTCACTCTTTTGAGCTCTTTATTCAGGCTGCATTCCTTTGGGGTGATCTGGATCAGGATCAGTGATCCAAGATTTGTCTGGATCATGGTGCATCAAAGAAACCGATGAATCCATGACCAGAATGGATTCATCAGTTCTTTTGATGCACCGTGATCCAGACAGATCTTGGATCACTGATCCTGATCCAGATCACCCCAAAGGAACGCACCCTTAGTTGTGCAATCTTAAACAGCATCTGCCTGTAAATATGTAGAATCCCGTAACAGCTGCAGTGAAACTATTCTCAGAAATTTCAAAGTTCCTGTAAGTTCAAATTTTCGTGAAATCTAAGAAAGTTTGAAATATCAGTTGATCAAACAAGATACCTGATGGAATTTATGGAAAATAAAGCATTTCCAATAGGCAAGTACAGAATGATGAAACTTGCCCTGATTTCATTTTACCATAGTTTGTTATCTGTGGTTTGATCATTTCTCTGTCTCGAATATTATCTTCAAGTATAAACGTTTTATCTACTTTTTATCTGTTAAAATACAATGATCACAATAAATATAAATACCAAACTTGACAAATTCCCCACAAACAGGTATTCTTGTGTTGGTCTTATTTTGATATTGCCAATGTTGCGTTTACTATGGTTAAGCCCAGGACTTTATAGATGGGTTTCAAAAGAGTTCTGAATTTGATAATCAACCGAGGAATCATAGTCTTTGGCATATACTAACATGTCATCAAGGCTTTGCTTTTTGCATTAAAAGAATTTTTGAATGATGACTAATTGGTGATTTCTAGGAAAGGAATGATTGTTTTCAGTGGAAAATGCACTACTGTGATGGTGTTCGTCAGGTTCCCATTGATATAATTTGCATCACGTGCAGTTCACAAAAAAAGAATCAAGTCCAAACCATTTATGTTTGCGTAAAATGTTTCGGTTCCTGAATGTCTTCCCATTGAAACGTTTCTTGCAATAGATACTGAGACACTCATTTAAAGTGGTTTCCTCTGTCAAAACCAAAGAAACTACAGACCACTAGTTATGAGTGAGAACACTGCTGAGTTTTGAAAATTGTTTTTGTTGCAGGTAATTGTAACAAGATTTTTTTATTTGTTTGTTTCAATTGTAACTTGACACAAAAAAGTTCCTGCAAAAATTTCTTCTGCAAAAATTTATTCCATAATGAGGGCATGATGTGATAGAGTGACACTGATTACAAAATATAGCTGATTTGCAAAAATAAACTGTTATTGCCTGATTTTCCTTTCGACTTCCCTTTCACCAAAAGAAGTCTGACAGTCATTGTACATCTATCTTCCCAAAATAACTTCGACTTAATTGTAGGTGAAATGACTTCAATGTAGGCGAATCGTGGAATAAATTTTTTCATTGACGATTATCGATATCCATGTTTTATTTTTTTGAAACGTTCTGCACCAAAACAAAAGGATATGATAACAGGAGAAGTCACCCTGCCTTGTTTCTTTATTTCACTACCTGAAGCTGAGCAAAATCGTGTAAAAAATATATTACTTTCACAACCAACAGATGCACTAGACATATGATGAATTTGACAGGTTTCAAGTGGTAATTTGCATAAATTGGTTGCACGTGCATGATGCAGCCATTCAATGAACTTCTGTGGGTTTCCTGCAAGCGTTTTTCTCCTTCTTGCCCTTTGCTGATGCTCACAATATTTTAATCGTGTCCTCAGAGTGGGACCAAACTCCCAACCGAGGCCCTGAGTTTTGGTGTTCATCACAATTTTCGTTACAAATTCGTTAATTTTCTCTTCAATGCTTGCTTAGCTTCAGGTAGTTAAATAAAGAAACAAGGCAGGGCGACTTCTCTCTTTATCATATCCTTTGTTTTGGTGCAGAACGTTCCAAAGAAATAAAATGTGGGTATCGATAATCGTCGATGAAAAATCTATTCCACATTATAAAAAGTTAATGTAAAAAAAATTCAATTTCCCATTTTAAATTTCCCATTTCAATTCCCCATTCCCCATTCCCATTCCCGTTTTAGTAACATCTGTCTCTCATAAAAACTTTTTCTCGAACTGATGTTTTGTCCCCGTCTCAGGCATTTGGAATGATGTGACAAGGAAACTTGCTGGGAACAGTTCAATGTAGTTATAATAAAAAAGCCACCGATCGACTGTCAAAACCAAACCTTGATAAATGTAATATAAGCTTGACATTACAGTTCCTAAGGTGAAAGAAATTCAATCTTTTCGCCGTAAATCGTAACCAAACAAACTTGTTGGAATAACTTTATCATAACAGTTACTGTTAAGACTCCACTGAGTGCTGCTACCCCCCGGGGCTTTTACTTCACCAAAAAATTAAATAACTCTTGCACACCTTGCATGCCTGAGGCATGTCTATGTTTTTACAACTGGTATAAAAATTCAATTTAGTAGTCATCTTTAAAAACAGAATTCACCATGTATCAGAACACAAATTAATGTATTTGCACATTACAGCAAGCTGTAGTATTTTAGATGTGGTACATTACCAAAATTATCTTAACACATGATCGGAGACATAATAGTTCACTTGGGTTTCGAAATTAGTCACTGGCTTTCCAATGAACTATTGTATATTTTATATCAAGAGTACAATGATCCTGGAGGACACTAGATTTCGTAAGTTAACGAGGTAATATTGGTGGGGAAGGGCTTATATGTAGCATACTTTTTCAGCAGGCTTATAGTTTTACACAGTTGCTCTGGTAAAACTAGGCATCTGCGATTGCATCATGAAACACAATTTACACAATTTTTTAATCACAATAATCTAATAATCAGCAGGTCATGCGCACTTTATACCTTTAAAGAAGTGAACACGTGTGCAGCTTTTTCATAATTCCACTCATTTTCAGAAAGACATCTAAAAATGCGAGAGAAGATATCATGCAAATGCAATCCAACAGAATACAGGTACATTTAGGAATTATACAGGATATTTTATACAATCAAAAGCCTCCACAAAAATATGCTTGGATATTTGTCCGTGGAGATTATCTGTTCCGAGAAGTACATGTAGAACAGTTTTCCGAGAGCACAGCTTGAGAAAAACTGTGAGCTCTGAGGAACAGATAATGTCCAAGCTAAGGACAATTATCCAAGCATATTCCTTAAGTCATAAGGGGGATATTGTGTTTATCACCCTTCAAATATTTTTCGAAATAGGGGGGATTTAAAAACTGGGGAATATCACTTGGGTCTTTGCCAGTTTTAACTGAGGCATATTCATTCACGTGAGGTGTATAGACCAATCAAGTGAGAGAAAAAATATTTGATGGATAATGATAACAACGCTCCAGTCTACAAGTGAATATGAAATATCATACATTTGAACTGCGGAGAAAGATATGAAGACATGATTGATCATCGCAGTTATATATAGCACAGAACTTAAGCAGTTGTGAAATTAAAGCCTGAAAAAAATTCAGGCCTGAACGGGATTTGAACCCATGACCTCTGCGATACCGGTACAGTGCTCTACCAACTGAGCTATCAAGCCACTGGGAGCTGGTCACTTTGTGAGTTCGTAATATGCCCATAGATGGTGAAGAATACAAGTGAATATATGAAATATCATTTATTTGAACTGCGGAAAAAGATATGAAGACATGATTGATCATGGCAGTTATACACACAACTTAAGCAGTTGTGAAATTAAATTCACAACTTAATTTAATTCACAATTGCTTAAGTTGTGTGTATAACTGCCATGATCAATCATGTCTCCATATCGCTCCAGTTTGTTCAGCAAGTTGAAAGGCTAAACAACCTGAAAGACACAACTCACTTGTATGACCATTGTACATTCATTGTAGATTGTTCAGAAAACCGGAGTACCATTTCTTCTTGCTGAAAAACAATACAGTTTCCAAACTAAAGCAATGCCCTAAAGGAGAAGGTCACTCCAAAACCGGTGTATTTTTTCCAATCACCAATAAAAAGTTTACATTGAGTTGAGTTACTCACCGTTGTTTTAGCTTCTGAAGTGGATGTGATCCCAATTAAAAAGAAGTGAAAAGTTCGACACAAGGAGCCGCCATTTTGAAAGGATCTTGAAGGCCAGGCCGCATATCCATGACGTCATTCCGTCCAAGAGTGTGTTTGTTCTTTTGAGCTTTAGTATGGCTGCTCTTGAAGACAGAATGTGCTAGTGATTCCGCGGGTGATAATAATCAAGTTGAATTGAATGATTGGTTAAAAAATGCTCTGTGGTGTACTTGTGGGGAATGTGCAACCATACTGACGGAAAGAGAATGTGTTTGTTGCCGAAAACAGCCGGAGTAGGTCACCAAGATGGAAGGTACATTTTGTGGTACAATTGCAATGGACGCAGTTAGCGGAAGAGGAAGTTTATTTTTAATAGTAAATTGCTCTCAGAATTGAACTGGTGGCTAAAATAAATCCCCAGTTTAGTTCTTTTGATCTGATTTGTCTCCATTTTTATTTTACTGGCGGTTCAATGCGGAACTAATGAGTTTTCAATGGTGTGTTTAAATCGGGCCAATGCTTTCCACCTCACAAGTCAGTGTTTTTACTTATAAAATTTGGAAACTTTTTGCTCGTGCTTGTACGTGTTTCTTTACACTATATGGACTCTTGTGAAATACAAAGTGACATTACATGTACAGTACAACCCCAAATTAATGGACACGCAAAAACTTCTTTTTGTGTCCGCAAGCCGGCAGCTTCTTGCGGGTTCTTGAAGGTCGCTTGTGCTTGGATCCTACAAGACGCAAGAACTTTTTTGCGGTTAGAGGTTAAAACCGCAAGAACTTCTTTGCGGTTGGATTTTCGAAACGCAAGAACTTCTTTGCGGTAGGATTTTCAAACCGCAAGAAACTTCTTTGTGCTAACATCTTAGCACGCGAAAATCCGTATCAAGACAATACCGTCTTGGCAACGGGTTCTAAAAAACACAACTAACAAACACAACCAAAAAACTAGAACTTACCATAAGAAGTGTTAAAACAACAAATTCTTAACTCTTGACAATTTAAACTCTTAAGTTCAGTTCAGACAATGAACTTTTCATGAGCCTAACTTAATTCGAATTTGGACCGATACCTGGGAAGAGCCAAAGAAAAAGTAATGAATGGATGCATGTTTGATGAAACTTTGAATTCGTTGATTGGTGTGAGCTGCTGTTTACAATGTTCTAGAAAGCTGTATATCAATCCATCAAAATGTAAACAAATATAACAGAAGAAGTTGATTCTCAGCCGTACCGACTAACAAACAAATTGTCGACCTTACTACGTATATGGCTACCGTTACACAAGAGATCCTTGGAAGTTTCTTAATGATGTGACTAATATTATAAGTTCTAAAGTGTAAGCCATATAAAGCCTATACGCTGTTGAAGTCTTCCTTGGAGAGAGTTTTTGTTTGCCAATAAATCAGTCAGTACATTTTATCACTGACAGTGGGAAGATTTTGGTCACGTGCTAAGCAACCTGTGAATCAAGAGTGTCTCAAAATAACTTTATAGAGATAAGGCCTTTGACTTTTTGTTGGATTATAATGATATTATTTTCATCAGTTTAGTAACAGTACATTTTTTATCGGTTGCTTCTGAATTAGATACTGGGTTCACTTTGTTTTGTTTTTTGGCGACATGGAGGAAATTTTACTGTTTACAATTATTATTAGGATGTGTCACGGAGTCTGGGACCCGCCGTGTGATAGCGGCACGAAATGAGCTTATTTGAAATGGCTTCTTCTGTCTGAAACAAAGGTTAAAAAACACACACACAAGTGTAACCCAAATTTTGAAACAAGCAAGTTTCTCAGTTGGCGAAAGCAAAGGACTACATGCATGCATGACAAAAGCGTGACTTTTCACGCATCAGTAATGTTTGAAGACTTTATGGAAATTTAAGGCGTCACAACAACATGATTGTTATCAGTGCATGCTGTGAATGATAATGAATTTTGCATTCAGAAGCAAAAAGCGTTGGACCCAGGCTAACTACATCGTAGTTTGATTTTTCTACGTGGACTGTTTCTTCACGAGCTTCATTATTTGGAGATGTTTTGTGATTGTCGCATAATCTACCAGCAGACTGTTCAAGTGATCGAAGGGCTTTTCTCCCGTAGGTGCATTATTTTTGGGCTGTACTGTAAGATGCGAAGTGAAATCAACGTCTTTCATGTGAAATGTGAAAGTGACAACATTCCTTGTCAGTACCTAAGATTTTTTGTGAGAATTGTAATTTGTATCGTTGGAAAGCTAAGCATATGTAAGAGATTTTGGATAGAGGAAAAAAGTATATACAACTTTTACATGCGTAAACAAGCTGAAGGAAAATTGACTCTGCAAGTGTGTTTTTCCGTATCGCATGTGGCGTGTTTACTCGCCTCGTTACTTGACAAAGCAAGCAATAAAATTACAGTTTGATTTTTTCCATAGTACTGCTTTCATTAGCAGCTGTAATCCCCAAAAGTAATGTGAATGAAAAACTGTCCTTAATTAATGATGAATCGTGTTGATAAAATTGAAAACAAATTGTAACACATTTCAGACAAAATATTATTTACATTTGTCGATATATAGATAGGACTGATGTACAACACACTACTTCTTCTGATGTATTTCAAATCAAATTAGACAACATTTTAACTCGTGCCTGGCTGTCAAGGCCAATTATTAAACACACTCTGA